ATCCAGCTCACATTCTCCCTTTCATTTAGTTACTAGGCTTGATTGCACTCAGATACCCTATAGTTTTTCTTTACTTTGCACTTATATACCCTCTTGTTTCTGGCAGCGCTTGCGTATTCTAAATTTTTTAAATTTGCGCTTTAATACCCTCAGTTATGCAAATATGCACTAGCGAATTTTAGACCAGTTTTTATGTTTTACTATTTGTTGATACTATTAAACCTATCAAAAATCCAATCTCAGAATGGAATTTGGGAAGGTTTTAAAATAGAATTACGTAGTTTTAACAATAAATTTTAATTAAAAAAAATTAAGAGTTAAAAAATTCTAAAATTAGCGTGTGAGTATCGTATGATAATTTCGGAGGGAAATTCTTGTGTTTGCCTAACTGAGGCTATTGAAATGTAAATTTTAAAAAAGTTTAGAGCGTATGAGTGCGGCCAAAATAAGTGACGGTATATAATTGCAAAGTAGGGGAAATTATTGGGTGTCTAAGTGCTAAGAATGGGTGATTATATGCATATTGTTGTAAATATTCATTCCAAATGAATACCAGTCCATATCATTTTCTTCCTGAAAAGCAAAAAAATAAAATAAAAAAATAACGTGAACAAGTATAAACCATCTCAATAGTAAATGAGTGGGTATGAATGATATAATGGAAACTAGAAAGTCATGAATAATAGCAAATGTTGTATTTCTGCAACTAGTGACTTATGTTGTGTTCTATTTCTTTTTTTCAAAATCAAATTCATCATCCTATCGTTTACATGTGGATATCTACTTCTTGAATTTTTTTCCCTCCCCTCAAGGCTCGGAAGTAACTGAAATTGTGTCAATTTAGTTATTACATTGATATGCTCTATTTTTAAGGGCATGTTTGTTCGCACGGAAGTAATTGTGAAGTAGCTGAAGAAAAAGAAGTAGGGGCTACTTCTGCTACTTCCAAGCAAAAAAGTGTGTTTGGTTCTATGAAAAACTTACTTCCAATACTTCCTTAAATGCTTATGTGGCGCCTACGTGTCATCCTTACTTCCAAAATATTTTTCCAATCCTCAATACTCAGAAGTAGCTCGGAAGTAGTTGAAATGCATATTAATTATGACATAAATAATTTTTTTATTAATATTTCCTTTATTAGTTACTTCTAACAACTTTTTATTGATAAAATTTTTGGGCTTTGTCGTTCCATCGGAGATTCCCTCGAATATCGAGACTCTCTGTGGAGCGGTCTTGGGGCAGCTACAGGCTGATAATACTGCCCTGATAAGTTTGATACACGGACAGTGAGAATCCGCTTCCCGGGTGTTTCTCTTTCGAGATTCATCCGCACCCCCAGCCCGATAATTTCCACTACTTCCTACTTCATAACTTTGAAAGTTACTTCTATAACCTACTTCTTAATTCTAATACTTTCATTATCCAAGCGGGCCCTAAATAAAATTCCGAAAGATCCTCTTCTTCTCTTCCTAACAACATTTTTAATTGCTACCAAACAAAAAAGCGAATGAAGTAGAAGAACGCTATTTTCTCTACTTTTAAAATTTTATAAAAAAAAGTAGTACTTCTTCCGCTACTTCATACTTTATAATTTTAGAAATAATAGATTTGATTTACTTCGTACTTCTGATATTTCCTATCAACTAAACATGAAACTTAAAAACTTAACCAAATGACCTCCCCCAAATAAAGCGCATGTTATCACACTTCACCTAGTGAACAGATTGGATGTTAGGTGTTTGTTTGCACGAAAGTAACTGTGACGTAGCTGAAGTAGGTAGAGACTATTTATACTACTTCCGATAAGAAAATTATATTATTTCTCGGGAAAAGCTACTTCTGATACTAATATTGCTCATTTATGTATTTTTTGTACCTGAGCTCAAGTAAAGTTCATAATTTGGGGCAGAATACAGGGATGACATTCTTTCTCCTTGTCTCAAGCACTTAATTTGTTAATGTTGTTGCTCAAGGCAATCAAAACAAAGAGTTCTTCATTACCATTGCTGACTATCCCTTTCACTGCAAAAAAAACCTCGTTTTTTTCGAACAAATATATCCTAGAATCCGTTAATATCATTTTTAAATTTCTTCCAAAGGAGCCTTGTTTTTTCGAACAAATATCCCCTAGAATCCTTTAATATCATTTTTAATCTTCTTCCGATGGATCGAAACTCAGAAATTGTCGTAAGAGTTGAGGGTCATAATTTTGCACTCTTGACAACAAAAATAACATAGTAGGTTATGCATTTTTTTTTTCTGAACAAAAACCTGGACTTTCCAATGCAATGATATTTTAAAATCTGTTCTGTCCCAAACTCAGCAAGTTGTTACAAGAACTGAGCACTATAAGTTCAATACCTGGAGAATTGCGGCTCTGAAATAAAAAAGAACTCGAGAACCTACTTGATCTAGATTGGAATAAACCTATAAATTCATGCCAACAAGAAAATTTTCATTCCTTGAGATTCAATCTTTACAATGCATCCATTTATGTCTTGCTAACTTAATACATAAAGAACTTCCTCTGAACATGGCCATAGTATGACATCAATAGGAGTTGCAAACACTTGCACGTTCACATTCATATGATTAAGCTTAGGTTTCCTCATAATATATTGCAGTCGGTTTTTCCTCGGCTTCCTCTTCTTTTGCCGGTTGTTCTGCAAATTAACAATCAGCAACCATGTGAGCAACCAGTAATCAAATTGAATAACTAAACAGGAAGAAACTAGATATATTTGTCATTGTATTGCACATTCCAGTTGATAATATTTCCTACTCTGCTACAATGACATACATAATCACTTAACCGCTGAATCTCCTTTTGACTATACAGCCTGTGCCCGCATCGACAAAATTTTATAAGAAATGTGGAAGAATGCAGTATAAGAAACAAGAAATGACAATGTCAAGGAACAATCTCCAATTGTTTCACAAAATTCAGTTGGTGATTTTTATTTTATTTTATTTTATTTTTCTGTGGATGATGTTTCATAACTTCTTACGATGAGTGTTTAACGTCTCAAACACGCTATCTTAACATCATTTACCTGATGTCAATAATAAAGAAATCTATGATCAGGTTATGACTACAACAATCTATTTCAAGAGTTGATATATAACCAATCACATCCAGAACAAGTTTTTGAAACCACAGGCCAACAGAATACCAAATGGTACATGTAAATCACATGAGATACACGTGCATAGAGAAAACGAAAGAAAACTTAGAAGATTACTTTGCTCATGATAGATAACATAGCCAAAGTTCAAAAAAAAAACCTCATTAAGGCAGAGAGTTCCGGAAAATTATCGAAGAGAGACCTCCAAAACTGTGCGTTGTGAGAATGATCAACTCCTCAGTCCAACCGAATCAACCCACAAACAAGGGATTTGAATGTATTAGATGAACTCATAAGCATAGCTTGATGGCCCATGTATCTCCTTCTATCAGACACAGACTTCACATGCTCATGTACTTTTAATTTCCAATATCATACCTACCTCCCCTGTATCTATTAAGGGTTAATTGCGGATAGACCTCCTGCAGTACTGTTATTTTGAACTTACTGCCCTTGTTGTTTAGTTATGGCACATAGACTCCTGAGAGAATATTTTTTACACTTGTACCCTCAAAGAAAGAGAAAATTGTTGTTGACAAATAGACCCTCTAAAGGTAAAAGAGTAAATAGTTTCTCACTCAGGGGGCTCTATTTGCAATAACAAAACTAGAGTGGTAGTAAGTTTAAAAAATGATACTACAGGGGGTCTATCCGCAATTATCTCTTAACCCTCCTCATGGATCCCTCGAGATTTCATTAATATCATCAAGCTGTTCGTCAGAATTTTGTAAAATATCCCAATCTCCGTCGCATGGACCATCAACCAATTCACAGCTACTTTCTTTCTTGTACCTTTCCTCGAGCTCATTTAACTGGCCCATTTGTCTTGAATAAAGTGATCCTAATGAAACTAGATATAACATTTTCCTACGAACTTCATATATGGGATTAGGCTCGATCAAGCAACCTTTCGAGTATGCCTCACGAAGAATAACAGTCTGTGTGCTACCTTTCGTAGAAATAGAGAAAATTCCAGGATGTTTAAGAAGTAACTCCCTCATATTGACTTCCATGTTGAAATCCCTCCTAAAATGAGACAACCGTTCAACCTCAACAAACTTCTCCACAGTCAAGCTTAAAAATTCATGAAGAATCCCCACAGCACGTTTCTCAAAGCGCTCAGTCCCGCCGCAAGTTTTGACACGAATCACCTCCCTCTTCTCGTAGGGCTTCACATAAGGAAGCCTTTGCCAATTCTTGAGCTTCTCTCGAAACCCTGTCTCAATTCTAAAACCCGTTGGAAAATTAATCGGGAATGCATACTTTGTTTCATATTCACTTAACCATTTGTCGATATACTCTCTCTCCCTCCACTTCTCTACCTTGGCTTCAGCCAAGCTTTCATCTCGTCGAACCAAAACCACTGTATCCGGATACACCACACTAAATTCATCTGGATAACGATCAATAATCGAAGTCCTAAAATCATCGGGCAAGCCCAATTCCCTTCTCACAAGCCACAACGAATGCAAATGCAGCGACCCTTGATTCGACATCATAAGCAGCTTCTTCACCTTCTCAGCAATCTCATCGCTAGATTCTTCTACAATCCTAGCTTCCTCCATAACCAACTCATTAAAATCCTTCAAAACTCTACAACAAACATTCTTCCGACTTGGGTGTCTGTAAATCTCAAACACATGCGGATATTTTCGCAGAAAATCGCCGACGCCCGTGTGAATCCCAACAATGTTCCTCCACCTCGAAACTATTTGAACAGATGTGTACCCATCTTTAGCTTTTGACATTAGTTCATGTAATTTGAGGATTATTCTCAATCTCTTCATTTGATGCATGAGCTTGTCAAGTTTGAGGTCTCTAGTTCTGTTCTCTAACCGGGTTTGAGCAGAATCTACAGGTTTCTTCCATCTTTTTTGTAGATTGGAGTTAAACGGACCAAAAGAGAAAAACCCATCAACTTTGGGGCAAATTGAAATTGACCCAAGTGGGTTTATCTTGTGAGGATCACGAAATAAAGACAACATTTTTTTTTTGCTTGCAGTGATTGTGAATGAGACCTGAACTCACCGGAATCTAGAAGATTCGCCGCCGCCGCCGCCGGAATCCGCCATGATCAAGCTTTGGGTCACTCTTTGTCGCAAGGATTTTAGTACAATTTTCGTCTTAAATTTCTGTTGGGGCGAATCCGACGGAGGAGATGATTTAAGATGGAAAAATCCTGACCGTTGAAAACCCCTCTTGCTTTTGCCACCTCAGTCCTAGTGGTGTCTCACATACCCTCCTGAGATTTGCAATCTCACACCTTTTTTTAACTTCAATACCTCAAAGTTTTGTTTTTCACACTTTGATACCCTAAAGTCCGGGGTATCAAAATTAGAAGATGTAAACATTGGGGTATCAAAGTTTGCGGAAAAATCTTTGGGGTATCAAAGACAAAAGAGGGGTATATTTTGGGTTATCAAAATATTAAAGAAAAACTTTTGGGTATTAAAATTAAAAAAAAATGTAAACTTCATAGTAACAAAGTGCAAATATCCCCTAGCGTTTTTACTTATTCCTATTTAATAGTACCTTTTTTCCCATTAAAAACAGTTTAAAATATCCAGTTCATAGGATTGATTATGTATAAAGTGAGATTTGAAATTGCTGCTAACATACAAACATACTTGTAAACTTAAAATTAATTTAGAGGGAGGATTGGCTTTTTCTTAAAAAATAGCGGAAATTATAATTCCACAATTCAAGAATATTAACGTCCATCTTTCCTAACCACTGTTTATATACATACATAAAACACTCAGATTTTCAAATAACTGTGAGAACGCAAAGGACAGAACCTGATACCTTTTATAATGCAAGAAGTAAATACCATCCTAAAAATAACGAAATTTAAAATCCCACAATTCAAGAATATTTTCACGTCCCCCATTTCCCCAGCCATTGTTTATCCATCCAAAGAAAAAAAAAATCGTATTTTCAAACAATTGTGAAAATACAAGGACATAATCTGCACGCTCATGCTACAACGAGTATATGACGATACAATACAACAAAGCCTTTATACCAATTCTTTGGAAACTCGTAATAAATCTGTTAAAGAAGATAAATTGTGGATCCATCTTGATATCTCCATGGTTCTCTCATTATCTACACAGGTCACTATTAGCCTTTGCTGTATCATCCACGATAACGTTATCTATCTGAGAGCAGTATGTATCACGAGCGATTCGTGGTGTGCGCAAGCAGGACTTGATACATGTAGAAACTTTCTGAGAAAAAAGTGATCCCATCAGTTTATGAGGCATTATTTTTGACTAGTGACGAAAGGTCCTCACGACTTGATCGATCCTTCTTCGACACAGTGGACAGTTGGTTAAGTGTGATGAGCACGATGTACAACAGCACATATGACCGCACCTGAAAATTTATCCAACCATTAGTCGCTCAAGAGTAACGTATAATTAATGTTATTATCTAATAAAAGAGAAATAAAAAATTTACACACTAGCTATTAACACATTTAAGATATTTGCACGCAGGATTGCACAGCAGACAAAGATACTGATATGAAAAATAATAAGCGGATAAGGGAAATGTTAAAGTTATGTATGGGCATACTCTATATTCGCATGCAAGATTGTAAGTAACTATATATCCTAACTGTAGGGAACAATATACATTGGCATACTCAGCCTATTACATTGGCATACTTAGCCTAGTTAGAAGTGAAGTACTGCCCTTAACACACAAACACACGCACGCACTGGGTGCATACAGAAAGCAGGAATTTGTTTTATCAAAAAATTCCAAAGATTATACCTTCTGAATTAAATGTGTAATACTATTTCTCAACCAATCAAGAATACCCTTTGCAGAATAGCATCATCCTCCAATAAGAAGGTTTTTGAACTTGTTCATGATTAACCTATATAAATGAATTATCTGACCTGGCAAAGAAATCTCCCTCTCTAAAGAACATATATGAGTTTCATGATAATAGATCTGTGACTAAATAATCCATGAGCAAAAAATGCCTCATGCATCTAATATCTATCTATAAGTAAGCAATGAAACTCATGAGTATCGGCGTACATCATTTGGTGGATGCCCAGCAACGTTCACTATGATCTTTTTATCGTAGAATATGAAGTGAGAATGCATGATTTCAGTTAATCCAAACTCATTAAATTAATAAGTGGCCTAATTGTCACCTTACTAAATAATCATCCATCAGAAACTATTTGATTTAGTAGCAATTATAATGACATAATGTGCTTTCTTTCATTAGCAACTATCCATAAGCTTAACAAAATTTAATAAATCAAGCCGACTCCATATGTAAATTAGTTAAGGGAATCACCAGAAACACTAACCCAAATATGTGCGCGTGTGCGCGCACAACAGGACATTATAATTTGGACATCTATGAAATATAAATACCTACAGAATGTGCCAATAGCTAGTGGAACAATCAGCATGCCTTCATTATCCATTATATAACTATAACCCTTAAAAAAACGTTTTGGTGAAAAACTCCTCTGGGCAATGATTAGTACTTCTTATCCAAGGGAAGTCAGATACTATATGATCTTAGCAAAGCAATAATAAAGATAGAAATAAACATACTACCTAGAACTAAGAAGATTATAGGGATGATAATATAACAGAACTGCCTGTGTATGCTGTGGCTATAAATACATGATTCTAGCCAATCTAGATGTAACACAACTACAATAATTTTCTTGTCTATGAGTCAAACAAAGAAACAACAGAAAAATGCTTATGGAGAAGAAACAAGACTATCGTTATTCTCGCAGCAAAATAGAATATTTTGCCCCATAAGGAATATAACAGGAAAGGATGAAGGCACTTAACGGGACAAAAACAGCATTGTAGTCCTCCTCAAGGCAAATGACGCATAGATCTGGCATTCGTTGTTCCTTCTTTGGATTATCTGTTACTTTATCAGAGTTTCCAGTTGACCCCACTGGAATATCATCAGAAACAAAGTTATACAGACTAAGGTTAGACCAGATTATATATATTTAATATTAAAAAAATACTATATAGAAGATTTACCTTCGTCATTTTGTGCTTGTCGTTGTGCAGCAGCTGCAAGAACTCTGCATGGACAAGAACATGGACACATTTTAAATTGGAAATTTTCTATGGACTAAATAACCTTACGTATATTAAGATTGTTTCTATCGCGAACCAGTTTACAATAAGACATCTAGCTAACTTGTATATAAAAAAAAATTGTCAAGTAACTTTGAGAGTTGAAATCAAATGATTATTATCTTCCTTACAAGATCAGCACCTCTTTGAAAATAATCATGATATTTTCCACCCAATTTATACCTCAATAAAGTTCAGTAATTGACAAGTGACAAGAATTCAGTTATCAGGAAAAGTAACAAATAACTACAAGACAGAATCTTGGATAGTCTACTTGAATGGCAAAGGAAGTTCCCAGAAGTTTTTGCAAAGAGAAAATGGTTACCCAAAACAAATAAAAAAAAGTAAGGAGTTATCAAAGTAAACAAATATGTAAAATCCAATTAATAAGCCGACAGCTTACTAACAAAATCCTGCAACATAAGAAATGTTTTCTTAGGAATCTACAGTAATACTAACTTGAATGGCCCATCAACAAAATTCCAGCTAAGAAACAAAGAACATGCAGTATAAACCTATATATTGTCAATTAACACCTTTTCTGCAAATCTCTTCGACGTTTTCTATCCATAACATACTGTACTGCATGCTTTGCCAGAAGATAGACACCATATACTGTAAATCCCATGGAAGCATATTTGTACAACCTGTTGAAAACATGAGATAATTTACTAAGGGTCAAGAAATCAATCAGAAAATCTCAAACTATTTTTAACATAATATTTAGAAAATAACCTTGCCCATTTTCCGAGATTGGCAATGAGTTCATCTATATTCTTTGGAGAGGCGTAAAATGGCCCTTTATGAGGTCGCTGAATCCGTAATGTCCCAATATCATCTTTAACAGCCTATTTTAAAAAAAAATATTCCGGAAAAAGCAAGAAACACCAGTTCATAAAAAATGTAGAAATATGGATGCGAGTATATTGGTTTGACTAGTGTGGCCTCTCACTTAAAACTTCGCTCTAGTTTTGGCTAAGTTTGGGCATTGTGAACAGTCATGCTAATTCATCAGGAATCAGCTCAAGATTTAAAAAGAGGGCTAATTGTAGATAGACCCCTTGTAGCATCGTTGTTTTGAAACTGCCCCTCTAGGTTTATTTTTGCAGAGAAAGCCCTAAGTGATATGTTTTGACTGTTTTACCCTTAAGGGGCCCATTGATCAAGAAAAAAACAATGCTCTCTCTCTCTCTCTCTCTCTCTCTCTCTCTCTCTAAAAAAATAAAACGTGAAAAAATTGGGGTTTCTCTGGTAACATCTAACTAGAGGGATAGGAAGCTCAAAACAACGATAATACAGGGGGTCTATCCATACTTAACCCAAAAATTATAAGAAGTATTATTTTTTTGAGTAAAGCTAAATGACTTACCTCACCAACCACAGTCAAAGAAGTACCGGTAGGAAGGACCCTTTCAGTCCGTTTCACTCCAAGCATCTACAAATAAACTGTAATTAACCAGAGCCAAATTCAACTGCATTTCTTTAGTAGCATTTTCTATTTACAAACCTTTAGACCTTGAAGATAGTCCAGTGTTCCACGCACTAAAGATCGCCCAGACTCCTCAAAAACTTCACTTGCAACAGTTAGCACCATTCCTGAAGCACTCCGTGCCCCCACAACAAACACACGCCCAGTCCCGTCCTCCTATTATTAAACATATCGTGAAAAAACAATTAGTGTAATAAAATTCATGTGAAATAAATCTAATACGCATCAATACAATAAACTCATAACAGAAATAGAATTCGAATTCGATCCCTTCTAAGTTTACACCCATGCTACTTCTGAGTAGCTGTCTTATGATGTTGTGATGAAAATTGCTTGTACATCTGAAAATGCACATTATTTTATAATTTGCATATATTATCGTGATTCATATAAGAATGAATAGTTTGTATTTTGGATATTCCAGGGTTAGTAACAAAATGCATTAAAGATATCTGAAAGGTTGAACAAATAAAAGACAACTAGGACATATTTTGAAAATTGATTTTTTTGTAATAATATAATGACTCCTCTTAAACCAATGACATCTAAAAAAAATGCATCACAAGTTACCATATTTAGAAAGCAACCTTCAACCTTCTATTAGCTTCCGTTTGATTTTGGACGTTATCAGTTGAATTTTATAAAATAAGAAACTGCTGAGGAGCATATATCCAAAAAGCTCTTAAAGAGGCAAATTTTCAAAACCGTCCTATTTGTAAACATATTCCCAAAAAACGACCCGTTTCAACTTTATTTGTCAAAATCGACCAGGTTACAGCCCTGGGGCTGAAACCAAGTCGGTTTTGGCGAAAAAAGTTCTCAAACTTCACGGGACTTGAAGTCTCGTGAAGTTTAACAACCATTTAACTAAGCTGCTAAATTTTACGGGACTTCAAGTCCCGTGAAGTTTCACAATTTAATAAACTTCACAGGACTTGAAGTCCCGTGAAGTTTATTAAAGTGACCAAAATCCCACGTGATTCTACTTCTAAAATTATGCAAACTTCACTGGACTTCAAGTCCCGAGAAGTTTGTTTGAACTACGAAACTTCACGGGACTTGAAGTCCCGTGAAGTTTAGCAGCTTGGTTAAATACCTGCTAAACTTCACGGGACTTCAAGTCCCGTGAAGTTTTGTACGTTTTTTCTTCAAAACCAACCCAGTTTCAGCCCGATGGCTAAAACTGGGTCGGTTTTGAAGAATATTTTGAAACTAGGTCGTTTTTTGGGATTATTTTTGCAAATAGGACATTTTTGAAAATTTGTCCACTCTTAAAAATAATAAGCTAACGGTCTTACTGAAAGAAAGGGATACTCTCTTGTTCTCAAACAGAAAGGGGGAGTGACATTCAGGGATACTCTCTTGTTCTCAAACAGAAAGGGGGAGTGACATTCTTTAAGACCGGTATGATGTTCAGGGTAATTTTTGAATCCAGAAGATCTGAGGATTATATCTAGAAAACCCTTACATAGTTTGGTTACTTTAAGGAAGTAAAGTGTGTTTCACCAAGGTGATGTTCTAAGGGGATTATGGCACTAAATGACAACTTCACGTGAGGACTAAGCAAGAAATGTAAGGATCAAAGCTGAAATAGGATCCCTAAAGTATTCAAAAATAATGAAATCTAAGAAAGCCACTTAGATAGAATCACCACCTAAAAGACTGCTCTTTCAGGATAACCACAATTATGCATGCAACATTGAAGCAAACAAAGCTAAGTGAAGTTAAATAGTTTGAGTAAACGCATACACTCCTTATCTTATTGTGTTGCAAGGATATAATAATTAGTAAATCTCCGTTAGATGTCTTTTTTCTGAGTTAATTCGCAAAGAAAATAACATTAGCAAAATATGAGTTACTTGCTTACCAAGTACCAAGGAACCTCCTTACTCATGGAAAGCATTAATGCAGAGTCTTGTATCCACGATCCCGCATCATTATGCTTCAAGAAGTGTTGCTCTGCCTATCAATTTCACAAAATTTTAATTTTGCTTTCACAAAAGGACTTTCACCCTAGTACTCAGATAGCGTTTTGCCTAGCTGAAAATTTTATGAGAAAGAGGTGAATATACCGTTTCCTCAACTATTACACCACGTAAGCCACTGTGTTCGCATTTTATGGGTGCCTCTGAGCCAACTCGTCCAGATATAGTAACAACCAGAGGTAAAACTTTGCAGGCAGTATCTAATAGAGCCGCTGCAAATGACATATGCGTACAAATGAATGCAATACTCTTACCGTTCACATAAAAAAAAAGATATACAGAAAGAGAATGAAGAATGCAATACTCTTAGGCCCACATGCAAATAATTGCGACCACTGATTAGGTGGAATGCATCAGAAATTATCATGCAAACCTAGGCATTGCACAAGAAGAATGGATTTTTATGGCTAATGATCATTGTATAATGTATTAATTCTAACAAATTGTTTTTGCTTCCTAATTAAAAACAGCAACTGTGATTAAACGAAGCAAAAACTCTCAAATAATATCAGCTCAACCAGTTCACATATCGAATTCGGATAACAAAAAAAAAAGAGTCAAATCAAAGAAGACCAAGCTACCTAAATCCTTCAATTGGTTAACTCTGGTTACTGATTTGAGAACATCTGCATCCCTGCACAACACCCAAATTAATCAAAAACCCATATTTTATTTCTCAAAATAATAAGAACCCAAAAACTACAAAAAAAATTAGGGGGAAAAAAAGAAATGGGCAATTGTACCTTCCACTGTTTCTGCCCAAGAGATAAAGAGCAGTTGCACTGAGACAACATCCCACTCCTCCCCATGGAAACATCCTCTTAATCAAGAATCAAGAGAAACCAATATCGGAGTGGGGTGCTTAAAATAATTTAAAGATTAAGGAGGGGGGTTTTGGGAACTGGGGTTTCACGCAAGGGGAAAGACTTGCTGATGAACAACAGGGATGCGAATTGGATTCGAGGCTCCGGAGTGGGGTGCTTAAAATAATTTAAAGATTATGGAGGGGTGTTTTGGGAACTGGGGTTTCACGCAAGGGGAAAGACTTGCTGATGAACAACAGGGATGCGAATTGGATTCGAGGCTCCGGAGGGTATAGCCCACGAAACCCAAAGGCCCTTTGGGAAAGAAGAGACGCTTGCAGAAAATTGTTTGCATAAAAGCCCTCAATGTTTAGGCTCCATTCACATATCATGATGTTTTACTTCTTTTCATGGTGTTTTCACAAAAAATAAAACATCATGCGCTTTGAAAACCATGATATTTTTTAAGCTAAATCATCCTCAAACCAAAAACACAATACTTATTTTAAAACACCTTTTAGGTATTTTAAGTTTGGTGTTTTGGTTTTGAGTTTGAGAATGTGTTAATATAATATCTAACATAATATATTAAATGTAATTATCATAGATTTATTATCAACATGCTTATTATATTATACTATACTATACTATACTATAGTTAATTTAATATATTAGCAATATTTGTTGAATAATATAAAAATATAATAAATAAAATATCGTATATAATAATATAATAACATATTAAATACCAATATTTAATATGTTAATAAGATATAATAAATAAATAATAATAAAATATAAATAAACTAATAAAAAATAAAAAAAGTTATTGATAATAAATAATAATATAATAATAATATAATAATATACTATACAATAGTATAATCGCTATTGTTGAAATCTAGAAGATAAGATGAATGTGGACATTACTTGAATATGGATAATTAATTAGATGACTCTTCATTAGCTCATGTCCTTTAGTCTTCTTATTATCCATCTATATAATGTATGTCATGGACTACAAAATGTATAGAGGAATGAGGAAGATGAATAAAATGTGTCATGGACTACAAAATGTATAGAGGAATGAGGAAGATGAATAAAATGAGAATCACTTTTCTCCCTATTTCTTCTATTGTCTATTTACATTTACATTTCATATTTGATTCTTACTTTTGATATATATGATGTATGTAAATATAACAATAAGATTACAATATGTTATCGGCACGAAAGCTCTAGCTAGCCGGTTCGTAATCGTCCGTTGGTGGTAAGAGATATTTCGGTGTACACCTCTTACAAGGTAACAATACATAATACATTTGACCTTTGTCTATTTACAAAGTTTCATTTTTTCGTTATCGGTTGATCGATTATGCCTCTGTAATAATGCATGAGCGAATAAATTTACAAGAGTCGTTATGATGAACAGTTCTTGAATTGCACAAAAATTGATTGACAAAGAACTTTAGGAACCGTTAAGAGGTTTGTTCTGTTTGAAAGATATATAAAAGAACAAATATTCAATATGTATAAACAGATAAAGCCTTCATCCGGATTAATATAAATCTAATAGTTCTAAATCAACCAGTTATAAAAGTAGAAGATTATCACAAACACAAACAACGGTAGAGGCTTTAATACTTGTAGAACAATTGCATGGTTATCATCACTATCGCAGTGCATATTTTATGCAAAGAAATTGGTTAATTCATGGTGCTAACTTTGATTTACATGTTTCTTATGCAAAGAAATCCGTTAACTCATAAGCTAACTTCTATTGGTTGATTGATCATGCATCAAGTGCTTGTAAAACTAACAGTTCAAGATAAAAATAAGGATTTCGTGATCCATGAGTTGAGTTATCCTCATAATCGTGGCTTAAAGTATCTACAGTTGAAAATTCATATGCATTGAGTAGCTCACAGATCATGAAGTTGAAAATTCATAATTTACTCTGATTTATTACATCAAAACAACTTTGTTAGAAATAATCTTATACTTCAGAAATCATTGATAATTAGTTCACCCATCAACATCAAGTTATTGCCAGTTTCCCCCACCTGAGAACCAACATATGAGAACTAAGAAGCTGAATCTGATAGTTCCCATATACCAATGCAATAGCCATGACTAGATAATCCATACATTAAAAACTGTTCTTACTCATGTCCGAGTATCAACATGATAATGATGAGACCAATCACCATATACTCCAAAGTTTCAACATTTGACTCTAATGTTAGGTACCTTTTTCTGTAACTGCTTTGTACGAGTTTAACTTTTGTCATGTCTATAGCTAGGCTCTCTCTAGATTTAGCTCTTGCATTCACCCTTTTCTAAGAAATATTGAACTATTTTCCAGTTCAATGTGGCTATATCCAACCATAAAATCACAAGAGATGACTTATTGAAAAGTTTGTGTATGACATTCTTATATCCAATCTTCATATTTTTGTAGCATGTTAAATATTATTTCCTAAAAGATTAAGCCTAACATATGAAGCCATCAATTATCATTTAGTTAATATGTTGGAAAATTTTAAAAAACTTCTAGTTTTTGTTTCCTAAATGATTATAAAAAACATACAGTAAAAGTACTGCATCTCTTGAATTTTCCAAATGCTATCAATGTGTATAGACTAGTGCTATTGCATTAAATATGATGTTGAATTTTTCCAAATGCTATCAATGCAAGCAATGGTTAAAGGATGTCAAATCTTTTATAAGTTTGAGATATAGTCTCTCTTCTGGGTATACAAGTGTTATAGAATACATGAGAATACATGAATATTTTTGTACATGTGAATATTTCTAATTTCTCATGCACTAATCTTTCGTCCCCATGATTAGTGCAGAATATTTTTGTACATGTGAATATTTCTAATTTCTCATGCACTAATCTTTCGTCCCCATGATTAGTGCACTGTGATATATGATCATGCACTAATCTTTCGTCCCCATGATTAGTGCACTGTGATATATGATAGTAATTATTACTTGTCTTTCGCCTCGAATGTTCATTTTTACTGATACCCTTGTGAATTTTGTACGATTATATCTCTTGATTCTTTAAGTATCTTTGTCCAGAAGGCAAACACTTTAAAATTTCTCTCTATCAATTAAGACGTAAAAAAAAATTAATGCCTCACTGAAAAAGTATTCACTTTTCTGGGCAATCCCTGAAGGATCGCTTTGATATATGAAAGCTAATAATGTTCCCTCAAATGCAACTGGCAGACTGAATCAGAACTTTTTGGATTTCAAATACATAACTAAATATGATTCAACCATGTACCATATTGTCTAGCGGGTGAAGCTCGCAGAATTGATCGAAAAGATTTTTTCCCATTCCATGCAAGTAGTATTGTACTCCAGTAGCAGTATATGGCCAAAAATTATGCCAAGCATTCTGCTTTGATATCTACATTTAGAGTTGTAGAGAATCACAACAAATTGTTGATGAGAAATTACAATGTTAGACTAGTTGGCTTACGAGTTGTGTTTGTAGCACATGCTACAATTCAGAAAATTACTTATACACGTGGACAAGGGGGAGGCTATGAACATAGTAGGAGATCTTATCATGTAGCTATTTTTGGATTTTAAACCCTCGACTGAATACAATTCAACAAATAACCTTGTATTCTTACAATAGTACAACTAAAAATTATATTAAGCATTATGAACTAATACTTGCATTAGTAGTTGTTAAAAACACAACCAGCTGTTGTGAGAAACCATAATGAAAGTTTAATTGGTTCACACGTAGTGCCTGAAGTACATGTCATAATTCAAACTAATATTCATAAGCTTGGACGAGGGGGAGGTAGTGGACATTGTAGTGGATCTTATCGAGGTGGTCAATGTAAACTATTTGGTTTTTCTATATTTAGATTATATGCATTTGTCAGATAATTTTAATTTATTTTGAGTTTGCTTTAAACTCTTGTGAACCTATGTGGTTTTTATTCATATGTGTATACTTTAGAATTTGTCTGACCTAAAATACACCATGTTGCGATGATTTTTGAGATTTAGAGACCAAAATTCTTTTAAATTCTGGCATGAGCTATTGGATCATCTTGGGCAAAATATGATTTGTCGGATTTCCTTAAATTAAATGTGGAATTAAAACCAAATCCGACCAACTGCATATCACAATTTCCCCCCTTTATCTAATACGTGGTGAAGAAGCGTAACATTTCCTATCTGCATATTCTTTATTTGCAGTCCATGTTTCTATATCACCACCATAGTGTACCTCTATGAGACCTCGGTGAAGGTACATACATTATTTATGAATTTATGAAACTCAGTCGATAATTTAGTACATATGGCCCATGTTAAGGGATTAATTTACAATCCGGTACGCTGACTGCATTTTTATTGAAGATCAATTCTCGACATTAGGAAGAGATTAACGCCCAAAATATAAAAGAATGTCGAGAAATTTCATAAAATGAAAAGAATCTTCAATATTTATATCCACGTACTAGTCAAATTGAACCAGAAGTTCACATGATAATCTGCTAAGAAAAGAGTGACTAAGCCCTATATTCATGTTGAGTATATCATTGATGATTTGGTATGCCAGAAGTGTACTGTACCAGAAGCATATGAAACATGTTAGTGTATAAGATAAAAGTCCGTGACAAACTAAATTCTATATAGAAAGACAGTCACTCCCATAACCTCCGGAAGAGGCTTGTCCTGAAAACGAAATCTCTAGTAAATTGCACGTGCACTTGATAATCATAATATTGGAGATGCAGAACGGCCAAATCCAATTGTTAAGGGAAATGGCGAGGATTTGGTTGACATAAAATAAGAATTAAAGTGGCCACGAATTTGTGAAAAAGGAGAAATATATAATAGAAATATAAAAGTTGTCGACAATATAGTTGCCTCTACAGTTGCCCTTACTATCTCTGAAAATAATTTGGATCTAGAACCTAAGTCGATAGTAGAGTGCTTGAAGCACTCGGACTAGGTGAGATGGAAAAGTGGCAATTGAGGCTGAGCTGAACTCGCTAAAGTATTTTGAACTTGTAGTCCATATATCCCTGTAGGATATAAATGGGTCTTCGTAAGAAAAATAAATAAGAATTTTAAGGTGGTGAGATATAAAGCAAGATTCATAGCTAAATGGGTTCACGCAGAGACCTGATATCGATTTAGATGTAAAATATTCTCCTATTAGTGATTGTATTATGTTCCGCAAGTTAATACCTATGGCAGAAACTATGAATTTATATATGCAATATATGTACGTCATGACCACATTTTTATATG